TAGTGCAAGTGATAAGTAGAGGGAAGTGTGGTCATCAGAATTGTTTTATCTTGCTCATTCTCATCGTGATCATGGTTGCCATTGTCGTCATTATCTCAGGTCAATGTAGCAGTAGCATAAGGTTGTCATGTTTTAACCCATCCAGGCCACTTGACCCTGCAATGATTTGTCACCACCCATATATACTCTTGTCAGGATAACAGGATTTGTCGCATAACACAATTCAACAGCAGTACTTGTCAGCCTTGGTTCTTTCAATGTAAATCATAAGGACATTTAGTATGTTGTGCACAGAATGCAATGCAGATGTTAATTTTTCCTTGAACAATGAAAAATATGAGAGCACTCAGTTTCTTTGAAGGTCAATGTGATGGGGGTTTTACAATGGATTGCTCTTTTCACTCGAGATGGCTAGTCTGCAACAACTTGTTTTGAAATTAATTTATGTTCAAGAAAGTTATATGTTATTTCTACAATGCCAAGGATTTCATAACTTTTGCTCTGGATAATTTCTCCTCTTTTATCTTATGTAGGTCATGGCAATATCTTTCCTTTGAGCCAAGACCAGTGGTCTTTGTGCGTATTGTTGGTGTTGAGAACACTGCAAATGAGGTAACAGACTCCTTAAATTGATTTGCCTATTTAAATACAAAAGCTGTTGAAACGAGCATACATGTGTTTTCAAATATACCCATATTCAGCATATTCAGAGATACATTTTAAAATTAGCTATTATGTTTAGTATTGGATGTGTAAACTGTGCACTATCAACACTCCCACCCAGTCTAAGACAAGTCCACAAGACAGTCTTATCAAAGACGCTTATTACTTTACTTGCACACCCTGGTATGCGTCAATAGATGGAAATCTCCTGTGGTGGGGAAAAGACAGATATCAGCTATCTTGAAATGAGAATTTTGTGCATGCTGCCATGTTGGATCTTGTTCCACTGTACAGTTGTCGCCATTATCTGTATGATCCTCTTGGGACTAGAGCTTAGAAAAGAGTTCTTTTATATTGTAATTGTGGCAACCAAATGATTTCATATGATCCAAAATGGCAGTTGAGGTAAAAATCCAATCTAATCCTAGAAACTAAACCCTGCGGTACATATCCCTGTTCAGTTCTAATATGGAAGTGGAATAGAGGGTTTGACACCTATATACAGAAAAAAAAATAAAGGACAAATATAGACAAAAACTTTTGTCACCAAAGGAAAAAATATCTTCAAATGTTGAAAGTTCCCATCATGTAAACTGTGAAATCTTTGAAAACCTCCTCAGGTGTTCCATTGTGTGCATTTTGAGTGCCCAGCTAATCACAAAGAACCTATGAACTGCAGCAGTGAAATGACAGACAGCTCGGAGCAGAGTGCTGCATCAGATTCCACTATTAGTTCTATCATGTGACCACTGATGGCCATCATTCTGTGATTTATCAAAACAGCAACTCATCCGAACATATTGCAGTATATTTTATATAATAAGTATAAAGTGAAAGGAATGGCACCTCAAATTTAAAACAGTTAAAAACATTGCAGTTCTTGTTTTGTTAATTCCCATATCCTACACTTCAGCTAAGCAACAGGCAGTGATTTATTGCATTATCAATAAAGGGCAAAATTACTGAGCGCTGATTGGTTGAGAGAGAGGGCATTTTTTCTTAATCGAGGGCATTTTTAGTAATCAAGAGAGGGCATGATTACCTGTTAATGATTGGCTAATCCGTTGCATAGCAACCGTTCGTTATCTTGAAATTTTGATTTTCCTTCGTATAAATTTTGCCCTTTATTGATAAACAAGTAATCCCATGAGACCTCGTACTATTAAGGATTAATTGCACTTGAGTTTTCAAAATTTTGGAAAATTTTGAAAACTCTCGTGTAATTAATCCTTAATAGTACTTGGCCTCATGTGATTACCTATACTAATCAGAAAGGCCAGCTGACAAATGGCAACAGAGGAACCAGTTTCACTTGAATCTGCTGGTGATACAAACACGACTTCCTTGTATCTTAGTTTGTTGAGTAAAGTGTTTGGAACAAGCTAAGCCAGAATCCTCTGTAAATAGTTGAGTAGGACCTGGTTTGGACTTTGTGTCAGCCACTAAACTGACCACCTTGTGCAGAGTACATGATAGTAAAAAGTTGATAAGTGTGGCTACTTCAATTTGGAAGAGCCCAGCTGTTCTGACTTACTGCTTGTCTAATGCAGAGAATTTTAATTCTGGAATGGCTTTGATTTGATGGAAAATTTTATATGTGGCAAGCTAAAACAAATGCAATGATTATGGCAGCATATTAAATATGCTGCCATAATCATAATCATCATTCATGATCTTGGTAAAGGGTTACAAATTTTGTAACCCTTTACCAAGATCATAATGTTAATTCTCCCCTCTAGCTGCTTTCATTTCCATGTAATTTGGTTAGGGGAATTTGGTGTCCACCCAAAAGTAAATTCAGCTCAGCAACCGTTGGGTAAATCATTTTCCGCTCAAAGTGATTCAGTATATGAACTGATAACCGGAGCCGAGTATCTACAGTTTCAAATTTATTAATGTTATGGATCTTTGTTAATATGATGCTTTAATTTGCAATTTGAGTACAGCAAATCATATGAAATTCGGGTGTACTTACAGAACTTTTAGGAAATTGTATTGCATCTGTTAATTTTAATGTCACTATTCTTACTGTAGTCAAATTTTTAACTTCTGGATGGTACACTGTTGTTTATAGCTTATAGTCTTGTTTATTTGCGTAATTTAATCGTACTTCAATGTACAAAGACTTCTCAATAAAGTCAGAAATCTTTAAACTGTTTGGAGTTAATTTTTACTGACAGAAAATCACTATACTTAGCCGACTGTGCGACATAATCACAGTTGCATATCTGGGAGGGCTCGCGTTGTAAGCTTAGGCCATCTGTGACCTTTAAGAATGGGTTGTCAATATTTTGTTGCATGCCAGCGGTAACAGTTGCCGTGGTGATGCTGATTTGATAGCTACATGTGGTATTCTTGTAGCAGAGTCGTAATAACAGCTTGAACTGATTGGAGTTCTACTCCATTTCTTCCGTTTCTTGTCGAGCTTCAGGTCTCACTACATTGCGTCTTGATGTACACAACCTCATCGCGATTTCTTCAGCTTCTCGGAAACCTTTTTGCGACAGGATTTCAATGAACGTCACTAGTAATCGTCTTGCAAGATATGTGTATTATTGGGTTGACAGAGTAGAATTCAATTTCGTTGACCCAAACGCCAAATCACGAACTGTCGTTTTATCACTGTCCGAAAACTTTTCCCTGGTATAAAGAAACCATGGGACGTACAGAAGTCCAATTGGCAGAGCGAAAAACAGAAAAATTGACATTATATATTGTTACTGAAGTAGTTGACTTTAAGGCTTTCCGTTCTCTTTTGAAACTGAAGGTCAAGAATCCGTTTTTCATGGCGTCTAGCTTCCCTATAAAGAAGGATCTGAAGACAGATGATTGAGCTATACAATGTTACTTTCAAAACTACGACCGGGATCACCATCACCCTGGAATCAGAAAAAAGTAATCAAGAATGCTTGGGATCCAGGCGCCAGACCGATAAAACTATAACTCGCGTTTTAGTGAACATTTCGTTGTGTGCAAAAGCGTATTTGATAGTTAGATATCGTCCTCAGCTCATCAAATCTGAGTGGCCTAACACAGCGTGCCAAATTACGACAAAGGAGATGCTAAAAACCAAATTTATTCCGCAAAATTCGTGGAAACTTTTTCTTTGCAGTAAAAAATTGTCATAGCTCCATGGAGAGGTTGAACAACCAACCCAGTCAATAGATCAGTAAGGGCTAAAGATGCCAACTAAACGTGGGAGTGAGTTTGAAGACGTCGTTTCGTTTTCACAGCCAAAATAACTATCGCGTTCAAAAAGCAGGTAAACGGACAGACGATAAAGCTAAGAACAGCTGCTGGGACAAGAAGACCATGTGTTGTGTTTTTCGACCACTGTCTTCGCCAAACGAGAACGCTTGCAGTTGAATGTGTTCCTTTTCAAACCGAGAGAAAAAAACAAAAAGGACGCAAATGCAAATATTCCTTTATCAGGAGCGCACCGAAAGTTGCCAGAAAAACAAGACTTATTGTGTTGGTGAATAAATTTCGCACACGAAACACATAGAACCTGGCAGAAATTGTTATTCTCTGTTGTAGATACTGAAACAAATACTGCCGCGAAGTTACGTTCACCAGTACAGGAATGGTATGGGAATGGTTTAAATGCAACAGCAGTCTTTTGCGATCGACAATTTGTGTTGCTGTTTCGAAGGATAAACAATCAAAATGTTTAATTTGATAATTTACTGTCGGCTCGACTTTAAATGGTCAGATATCGGTATCGTTACTGTAATAAGGCCAAGCTACATATGGGTCAACTGTTCAAGTGCAATGCAGCATTTGTAAATGCTACTTGTGTTCCATTAACAGTACAAAATTTAATAGAAATGGGGGTAATTGTGAAGAAGAGCTCCCCAAAAAACCTGTAACTAGTAACTAGCCGACAGTCGGCCGACAGACGGCCGACAGTCGGCCGACAGTCGGCCGACGGCCGACAGTTGGCCGACTGTCGGCCGACAGACGGCCGACAGGTTTTGCCTGAAATATAGGCTACCTGTCGGCCGACAGTCGGCCGACTGTTGGTAATGTGTCGGTAACCTGTCGGTAGCTTGTCGGTAGCTTGTCGGTAGCTCATACATCACCATTACGGATTGTTATGTCACGTTAACTGTTCGTTTTTTACACAATTTTTCTTTTTTCTTAACCTGTCGGTAGACTGTCGGCCTACTGTCGGTCAACTGTCGGCCGACAGTCGGCCGACAGGTTTTTTGGGGAGCTCTTCTGCACAATTACCGAAATGGGTGCTACACTGATAACTCACTAACGATTTCACATCCAGCTCAGCTAAAGACCTCATTTATTAACTGTTTCGCCTCTCAACGCCTTTCCCCTTCTATTGTTAGTTCCTCTCCTTTTTGTATTTTCTTCGTTTCCTTCTTGATACCTTCATATCAGGATCTTTCCCTTCCTGAATCAGTTTCTTTCTCTTATTTATCAATCTCTTTTCTAACACAGCACTACCTCTAACTTTCAATTCCGCCTCCCTTCGAGCCACCATCACAGCCTTCAACAATGGCAGAACATCATTTTCATTAGTTTCAAACTCGACAAGCTTGGTATTGATGGTAGCTTCGATCTGTTTCACCCTATCCACATCATACTGCGTTACGAGTGTTATCGCCATTCCACCACGCCCAGCTCTTGCTGTTCGTCCCACGCGGTGTATGTAGTCCTTTGGAGACGCCGGCACATTACTATTAATCACAAGTTCTACTTGAGGAATGTCCAACCCGCGACTTGCTACATCAGTAGCTACAAGAATCTTGACTATACCTGACTTGAACGTGGCCAAGCCTGCAAGCCGTTCCCCTTGCGATTTCAATGAATGGAGAGCCACACAAGGCAGCTCACACTTCCAGAGCATGTTTGCTAGCGTTTGGCAATTCTTACACGTATGCGTGAAGATGATTACTGATTTATTTTCTCCACGCTCTCGCAAAACGTGAATGAGATAGGAGTCTCGCACACTGGCTGGAGCAAGAATGTATCTCTGATCAAGTTCAGTGACTGTTTTTATGCTGAAAATAAAAGAAGATAACCATGTCATTAACCCTTTACAACCTAATATCAGTATGCATATTCTCCATGCTGTTTATCAAACGTTTCTTAAGGTGCTGACAAGGAGAATTTGTTTAACGATTAAGAGATTCTTTAGTTGGTGATCATTTCCTTTATTCTTGTGACCTTCATGTGTAATTTAGGGGAGATATTGTAAGGAGAAATTAGATGTTAGTCACTCTTAGGAGTAAAAGGGTTAAGAATTCACCACAGAAGACAATAACGAAATTGTGCACCAATTGTTAGTATACTGAGGTAACAACATGATTTTGAGTGCAATTTGGTGTTAAAAGCATAAGTAAATTTTTGAAAGACAACAAAATTGCACAAGCTTGTAGGGCAAGTTTTGTAGTCTTTGAAATGTGTACGAGTGCCTATTTACACCAAATTCCATATTTTAGAAATAATGTTGTTTCTTGTTAACAATTTACATGAAAAACATGTCACAGAAATTCAAGACGGACAAAATTTTGGCAGTGCGTGCACACTATTTGTAATTTGCACTTGTGTTACAACTTTGCACTCATGTTACATGAAAAATGCCTAGTTTTCAGCCAATCAGACACACATAATTTTCTCATTTATAATTATTATTGATAGGAAAAAAAATAAATCACCATGTTTAAAAGTTTTGGTCAGCAGTGCCACTGTGATGTATGAGTATTAACCTTTAAACTCTCACGAGTGACCAAGACAGAATTTCTCCTTACAATATCAATAAAATATCAGGCAGACAAGTAATGAGAACAAAGGAAAATATATCATTTAGGAGATTTCTCATTGATCTTATACCAAATTCTTCAAATTGACATCAAAAGAATTGTATGGCAGCCAGTAGGGAAAATTACTTAGGAGTGCTTCTCGAGCAAATTCAAGCTACGAAGAAAACAGTGCAATGTTTTACTCCACACATACTAATCATTCATATATTTATGCAAATTAAAATGCAAAATTTACACTGAGGAACAACTTCAACCCTTTACAGCCTATTATCAGTATGCATATCCTTTACCCTTTCTGTCCCAAGATCTCATTAGTTCTCCTTACTGTCTGCCTTACAACTCTTATCTTGTAAGTTTGGAGAATTTGGTAATGCATCAACTAATGATCTATTGATATTCTTCTTTAATCTCATCACTTGACTGCATGAAGTTATATTGAAATTGTAAGGAGAAATTCTGTCTTGGTCACTCATGGGAGCTAAAGGGTTAATTCTGTCATCTAAACATTCCTATAGATGCTGAGAAGGAGAATTTCTTTAATAATCAAGAGCTTCTTTCAATAGTGATCATTTCCCTTATTCTCGTGACCTTAATGCTTGAATCAGGGGTGATATTGTAAGGAGAAATTAGATAGAATAGAATAGAAACTTTATTAAAGTGTCAAAAACCGTCTAGCCAGGGAACAAATCCCTTACTAATTTGGGGACACCAATTAGGGGAGAATATACAAACTAAAAAAAACTATATACAGTAGTAGGTAAAATATCTATAGTTAAATCATTAAGAGATTTATAGTAAAAATACACAGAAGTCAAAATGAACAAAGGCTACAGCCTGTGCAGCCATCATCTAAAAGTTCACTTATATTGAGTTGGCGTATCTTGCTTTTAAACGACGTTAGGGTTGTGACGTCCCTGATACTCTTGGGTAGTTTTGTCCATAGCCTAGGCCCTAAATATCTAATAGAGTGCTGAGAGTTCTTAGGGGTCCAAGGATTAAGAGGGACATTTTACACAAGCAGTTAGAAAAATAAATATTTCTGTATATGTTAGTCCAGCCATTAGGTGAGGAACAAAAAAAAAGCAATGAGATATTTTTAAACTCACTCAGACTTCACTTCATGGTAAAATGGATCATTGCTTGACATCTCCCTCAGTTCTTGAAGAGTATCTGTAAGAGTGGCACTGAAAAGTAATGTCTGTCTTTCTGTTGGAACATTGTCAAAAATCACCTGAAGATCATCACTAAATGAAGGATCTAGGAGTCTGTCAGCTTCATCCAAAACTAAAAATTTGATTTTCTTCAGGTCAAAGGTATCTGTACTCTTAAGATGATCAGCCAGTCTCCCAGGAGTCGCTATGACAACATGAGGTTTCTCGGCAAGTATCAATGATTGTTTCATCATGTCCAGGCCACCAATAATTACAGCCTCCTTAAGGCCAATGGGTTTTCCAAGGGCTCTGAATTGGTCGCAGATTTGATATGCCAGTTCTCTATAGAGAGTGATGAAAAAGGTAATGTCAGTATCTAAGCCAATTTTCTCAAACCCTTGCAGCTTATCTCAGTTTCTGTGACACATAGTCACTAGGAGTATGGTTAATGCCCCTGTCTTCCTGGATGGGATGTCAATCCATTGAAGGTTAACCCTTTAACTCCCAGAAATGATAAATATGTAATTTCATACATTATCCTGCAAACAGGTATGAGAAAACCCCAACTAATCAGGTAGTTGTTATCTCGATCTCAAACTAAATTCTCATAACTGATTTACAAGGAAATGTGTAGCAGATAGAGGGGAGAATTAACAATCAGAACTTGGGAGTTAAAGGGTTGACCCAGGGATTTCAGAAACCTTTTTCGTAAGTGGCTGCCCATGGCGCAAAAGGCGACTGTGCTCGCAGGCTGAAAAGACAGTGGTTACCCCCTTTTCCACTGAATTTTTGGATTTCGAACAAAAAGGGTGGACTACTGTTTTTGAAATCCTTTTGAAAGATGATCAACCAGTACAGATAAAGAGCGCTGGCCGATAAAATTTTTCTGTCACATATAAGCTCAACATTCGATCCTGAAACAGCAAGATCAAACTCAACAGAAATTTAAATGACTAGTTCGAAAAGATAAACTGGGCAACCATGACAGTAATTAACATTAAAACTAGCTTTCTACCTGGTGGGCGTGAGAATAACAGCAAATATTCCATAAGGATCTTCGCAGAGTTTTTGAAGTATGGGCAAAGCAAACGCAGCCGTTTTTCCACTACCAGTTTTAGCACAGCCAATGCAATCTCGTCCGGACAAGATTGGTGGAATACACTTTTGTTGAATCTCTGTCGGGCTTTTTATTCCAACAGCGTTGCACTGTTTGTCGAGCCAGCTATTTAAGCCTAGACTAGAAAACGTGCACGTGGGATCCTTGTCATCATCGTCGGCCATTTTGTTGTGTAATAACCCGCTGGGATACATGGGAATGATTAGATTCACTTCGAGGGTTCCACGCAGATCCCACGCATGAAACTCGAGGGTCCGCGCGGCGCGAGACTTCACTAAGTAACATACTTGTTTATGACTTAAATTGTAAGCTCTCCTTCTTTAACTCTGGAACTCTGACACTCCAGAACCTCTTAGACTCCATTCTGTCCCGAAGTTATTTATCAACACGATAGACTGGAATATAGTACAAGTGGTTTCTGTGCGTCGACAACGCAAACTCAGGCGAAGTAGTTAACACTTATAAGTTCAGAATATCAATTACCACTCAAAAACTAGCTGAAAGTTTAAGCATATCTTCCGGCCACGTCGAGTGTTGGAATCGCGAAAACTGCACTCTAAATTCAATTTGTTTTTCTTGAGAAAACAGAGATCATGAGTTACTTTTATAAAACCCTCGATTACATTACGCACATTTCTGCCGATATTTTTCATCTCTTACAGTTTTTTCCCTCTGGGAAAAATGGAATCAAAAGTAGCTTTGATCTAGTATTCTTGCTACAAGTAAATAAACTTCTACGGTTCCCTTAGCTCTCGTGGCAGGTTTAAAAGCCTTAGCATTACCTTGCATATCAGCCAAAGAAACTCTCTCTTAGTCGCTCCATAATTTATTTCACAACTTCTCCACCTTTAACACCTATAGCGGCCTCCTTACACAGCTCCGGGTTAAATTATCGCCTAGAGTGCTAAATACACAATTCACACGATCCTAGATCGGTTGTTAACATTCGCGCGTGGTTCACTTCGAGAGTCACCTGGGAAAGTCTTTCTACCGACCTATGACGCGGAAACGAGAGCCATGGTGCTAAAACAAGAAAGTTGATACAAAGATAGTTATTTGTGTGATGTCACTAACTCAGGTTGGCGTTTGGGCCGGATCAACCCAGGTTTCGACAAGAGACACCCGGAAATGAGGGTATCTCTTCATGAAATTAGACGGCTAGAGGGTTGCCCTTAGGGTTGATTCAGCCCGGGCTAACAAATCACTCGGAGTTGTGTAAAGAGGCCCTTATTTATTTACAGCCATAACGTTAAATAATAAAATTCTTATAATTGTTCATTTGAAGTTAAAAAGTAATATGAGAGCTCCGCTTTTAAGACAATAGCACAGCCTCGTATAAACTCAGTCAACTAAAATGAACACTGAAGAAGCCAATGTCTTCTTTACAGGACCAATTAAAACATATGAGCTAGTTCTGAAATGGCTACGTTTCTTGTGCAATATTCAGCTTGTTCATTGAAAAAACATCGTAGGAACAAAGCCGTTGGAAGGTCTGAATAAAACAAAATAAAAACAAACTTTAAAAAATTTAAGAAGTTATACGTCTGCTTGACGGGCCCAGTTCCAACAGACATAATAAATTCTAAAATAGCTGCGTTTCTGACAAAGTATTCCATTTTCATTTACAACATCAAAGAAATAAAAACTGTCTGAAGTTAAATTCTATAACTTCGAGTTTGTGTAAAATACAGAGATAAACAGAGTAAAATCTTCGCACGGTTCAGTGAATCCCTCAAATCATTTAAAATATTTGTGAGAAGATATCTTTAAGTGTTTTTGTGGGTGATTGCTGTCACATTCAAACCAAACGCCACAGCAACAGCCAACTGGAATGCGTTTGGTCTTGAAATGTGTCACGCAATTTCCTCAAGATTGGTTGAGTATTTTTGCGCAAGTTTCATGGTGAAGAAATAAATTCTGGATTTATTTTGACACAATCGCGAACCGTTGACGTATCAATTTAACGGTAACCTCTCTTCCCAAAACTTAGATGACTTAATAGGTCTCCGCATATTTTTGACAATTAATTTAACCATCTCCACCAAAAACTGAACCTCAAATCGACTAAAAACTAATTTCAAGAGCAAATTTGGTCCCATGAATTTTAATTTGGTAAAAACTATCAAATAGCTGGTCTCCTTCCCGTCCCCAGATATTAACTCGACAAGTCCTCCGCAGGGTATCCTGGTACTACTCGTCAAGGCCCCAACGGGGTACCCCTGGTGCTAACGCTCCCTGACCTTATCCGGTCGGGATCAGGTTGTGGCTGTGCGAGCATGGGGGTGCTACGAGAAATCCTCTCCGACGGCGACAGCTTAGCATGATGGGCTAGGTTGTCACGCGACGACGACCGCTGAAGCCTTGTACCACTGGCACCCATCTTTTCCATCAGCTTTTGACCGCGGCTGCTCAACGTTCTCTTGAGGCGTGAAAATGTCTTCTCGCGTTTTCCGTTCTTTTTGTCGTCGTTTGGATCATCTCTTTCTGGTTCTATTGAGGACTTGCTTCCATTACCGTTCAAGGAGGAAGAGGACGAAGCCACACTGCTGGATGAAAATGATGCACCGCCGACATCTTCAGCTAAAAGTTGAGCGACCTTAGTCTGACGAACGACATCTAGGGCCTGAGGAATGAAAAGTCGTTCGGTTAGATTGACGCTTACCAGTCAAGTAGCTTACATAGCTGGGTGCGGTGATTGCAAAAGTGAATGAGAGTATCAACCAGAAGAGATTATATCGAGCTTGAGTTTATAATCATTTATGCGGTTGAAAAATAGTCCTCGTAATTGATTTAAAGGATATTCAAGCTACCAAAAGTTACCATAGGAACTACCGTAGTTGTAGAGGAGAGAATTCCTACTAAGATATAGTTTGTTCCGAATGGAAATTAGCGTAAACCTCGCAAGTAATTGTTGATTTTTAAAGAATATTGATTAAAAGCCATATTACACCTCTCGACTAACATTCTGTCGTGATCTCAGCGCACACTCCTCGAGCGTCTCCGCTGCTTCGAACTTGCCCTGCCTGCGGTACAATGCTCCCAAATTCCTGAGGGTGGTGGTGACAGTAGGGCTGTCCACTTTGGCCGCCTTATGCCAACCACCATACTCGCCATATGGCGCGTTGTCTTTCCCGCGTTTACCGTCATCTTCCAGAGATGATTCGGTACCAGGCCCGAATTCCCGCTCATGGGCTCGGGTGAGCACCTGGAACCAAAAAAGAAAAAGAGATTTTGAAAAAGTCAATCTACGTGTGCAATTTGAAGGTGCAGGGTTACTGATATGGAATGGAAGTTTACCGAAGAAGATGGAAATAAGACCCAAACAAGAGCGGGGGAAATTCATCATTTTCCAATCTATCAATTAATGGGTAATAAAACAACCAACTTTCAGACGCCGAGTGTAAAAAAGTTTTTGGTCTGACATGGGGTCAAAATGCCAATGAGTGCTCCCAACACCCCGTATGGCACAGAAATAGTTGTTTCCAGTCCTTTCAACAACCTCGTTTCCAAAGTCTCTCTATTTAACCTGGGAACGAGTTTGCCTCATGAAGTCTTCGAAAATGATTATGATTTAAGGGTTCCCTAGGGAACAAGGTCTATTTAGAAGATATCATAGTTTCCTTTGCCATCTTTTGTGCACACATGTTAGAGACAAAAGTAACACAACTGAATACATACATACCTGCTTGTACAGCGTTTCAGCCGCTTTGTATTTTCCTTGTTTCAAATATGCGGACGCCTAAATAACGAAGAAGTTATGAAATCAAAAACGAAGGCGTTCAGCAAAGTCAAAAAAAAAAAAAATCTGTAGAAATCTCCGTATCTGTCCTAACTTCTAGGACAGAAATTTTCCTCTTACCAAGTTGTTCTTCGTTTTCGCCACATTAGGATCGTCTGGGCCAAGTTTGGTGGTGTAAATTTCCAAAGCCCGTTGATAGTACTGTTCAACCTGTAATAACACATTACAAAAATAGCTTTTATATTTTTTTCCTTCTTATTTTCAACTTTCCTTTGTGATAATCCTGTCAATGTTATAAGTTCCACAAACCTCGTCGTATTTTCCTTGATTCTGGCACAACAAAGCCAAGTTATTCAATTGCTTGGCTACATCGGGATGGTCTTTGCCGAGTACCTAAAACAAAACATAACCCATAGGTTAAAAAAAGCCGGAGGGTAATCTGGGAAGCACGGGTCCGAATCACGTCGAAGGCGGAATTTTTTTTCAGGCTTCTTTTGTCATTTTTGAAATTGCAGCTTACTTGCAAGGGGCATTGTTTTATTAATTCACTCCGCAGGTAAACTGAAATTTAGATTTTGAAATACGACTTTGGACCCGTTCAGTTGGCGGGTCTTTTAAGAAACGGACCTCAGTTCTCAAATGAATTCCGATTGGCTCGGTTGTGGCAGACATGACACACGGGCCCCACTTTTTGCTTGAATTCTGATTGGCTCGTTGTGGTACACGCATACACGGACCCCACTTTTTGTTTGAGTTCTGATTGGCTCGTTGTGGCACGCGCACGTGTTTGTTGTGAGGCAGTAAATCGAGACGTAAATGTTACCTTTTCGCGTATTTCCAGGGCTCTCTTGCAAAGGGGCTCAGCTTCCTTATATTTGCCTCTCTTGCCGTAAAGCACCGCTAGATTGTTAAGAGTCGCAGCCACCTTAAAAAAAACAAAGTCAAGGTTAATTGTTTATTCAGTTAACCCTTTAGCTCCCTTCAGTGACTAGGAGAGAATTTTTCAATATCAAATATCAAAAAATTAATATCAATTAATTCAATATCAACAAGGTGAGTGATGAGAATAAAGAAAAATATCAATTTAGGGATAATTAGTTGATTCAATACAAATTCTCTGAACTAGCATTACAATAATTATATGGCTTACAGTTAAAGGAATTACAAATTTGATCTGGGAGTTGAAGTGTTAAACTACGTGTAAATAACGAAACGTGCCATGCAAAGATTAGCTCTTAATTGACTCAGACGGATTACAACTGTAAATCCTCTGGTTTCCGTTAACGGAAGCTTTATGCGATTTTCACTCGGCAGCGTTTGAATAATTTGATAGCAACAGATGTTGTTATGACACCATAATTTAAAGATACCGCGTATTATAGAACTAAAATTCATAAAATTATTTATCCAATTCGTCGGATCAAAAAGGAAATTAGATTACAGACGAGTGTAACACAGGTAAATAACGATGACTTGAACGAAGTTCTCAATTTTCGAGATGTGTTTAAAATCAACGAGATTTCAATGCATCCTTTTGTTTGTTTTGGTGGGAAACAAAACGGCTGCAACAGCAATGTTCTTATAGATAAGTCTGATGGAATTGAACGTTGAGTACAGTTGGATTTAAAAAATTAAAATTAAAAATAAGAGAGTAAACTCTTCTCCAAGAACCCTGATGAGCTCAATTACCCATGTAGATGAGGAAAGACAAGATATAAAACGTCGAAAACGAGATTAAGATTTTGAAAAAACGTAATGCAGTCAATTAAAACCTCACAATAGACTGGGAGTTGTCTCCAGACACTAAAAGACCCTCCAGCTGGTGTGAATAACAGGAGCCACGTTACAAACCTTTGACCTCAGAACAGTAAGTGACGCCAGGGATACGCTCCTTATATGGAAAGTCATATTAAAATATCAGCACTAATCCAGGAGGTAACAAGTTTTAAGTTTCAGTTATAAAAACCCTCCGGCATGGATAATCGTTCTTCAACGTTCATATATTGCGCGGTCACGTAACAAACATTTTCGAGCGTTTGAGCACTTCAGCAGACCCACAATACGTGTCAGATTGGTCGAAGAAACCTCGAATTAAAACAGCTAAATAGAATATTTTGATCGTGGAAAGGAAAAGCTGTCAAACCATTGTGAAACCCCTTTGTGTGTGCACGCGCGTGCTTCATCAACCATCGAAATCACAATATTATCACGAGCATCTACAGTCCATAGAAACAACAAAACTGCTCCACAGCATCCGCCTATTTGTATTTAGGTCTTGTTTTAACTAATCTACACACAGGTAAGTTAAAGCTGAACATATCTAGAAGAATGAAAGCAAGGGGAAAGAAAGAAATACTGAAAGAAGGGAAACCCAACAAAGAGTCTGTGATTGATCACAACACAAACCAAGTCAAACCTACCGCTGGATGATCCTCGCCGAGTGTCTTTTCTCTAATCGTCAGTGCATCGTGAAGCAAATTGGCCGCCTCTTTATATTTGTTTTGGTCTCTGCAAAAGCAGGTAAGATGTAAGTTAAACGTTTAAAAGTTATTAACTTCTACAACAAGAAATGTTAAACCTGAAACATTTTCGCTACGATACGCTTCGCTACGCGCGCAGACATGACATTTTCATTTCACATCTGTTTCTCAATTCAATCAAAACAGAAAGGTTTTGAAATTTTAGCTTCTGTTTCAAGGCAACTCACTTAAAAACAAACCGACAAATAAATTTAATTCCTCCTTATAACATCAATTCCGGTTTTTACAGAAACAAAGTGAAATTTCCCACGACTCCACATGAAAATGTTTGCACTAAAGGAAATTCGATACAATCCTTCTTTCACCATTATCATATATTAAGATTCACAAATAACTACCTCTCACATGCAAGAGGAAATAGGTATATTGTGAAACCTGGAGAGAGATAATTATAACCGACTGATATTACCACTTAAATATATTTTAATTTAACGTCAATGGTCAATGGAAATATGACTTCTAAATACGAGTTTTAAAATCATTCACATGGTAAGGTTTGTGCTGCGTTCTGAACAAAAACTTTAGAAATTGGAAAGCTTCAGCCGAATGCTGGGATATTAAATTGCTTGGAGACAAGAAAAGACACCATATTACTTTTAATTCGAAGATCATTTGTGATTTCAAAAGTGTCACGGGTCCATGCCTCTAAACACAATATACGGTTCGTTGTAGCATGCCAAAACACAACAACACAAAACTTCTTAATTATTCCCTTGAAAACTGAAGCATAAGATTATGAAAACAAAACACAATACTACTTTCCAAATAGGAGACTTCTTGTCTGGCTTAGCTTTTCAAATTTCAGTTATTAATTACTGTGAATATTAACCCATTCTTCTTCGTGTAAACTTACAACAAACTATTATCAGTTTGTTTGACTTTGTACAAGTGTTCACAGCTAGTTTACCACTGAGTGTTTTCAGTTAACATCGTAATGAAGTTGACAAGACAAAAGCCACAGCACAAAGACTTCCAATTAATACAGTCAAACATTGTTTTCTGTAAATAATGAAATAACGGGTTTTGTGTTCAAGGGCTTCACGAGACGATTCATACGCATAACTTTGCCCCGTTCCTGAAAAAAGAAATAATTTCTAGTTCAGACACTCTGTTTTAAATATAGCTTTATATTTGTGTTGTGTGATTTTTGGACATTTTAACACAGAATGAAAAATAAGCAACATTTCCGGCATCCGTGTCATACTGCTATCAACAAAACAAAATGCAGGTGAGCTAACACCAAGTCTTTGTCTACTTGGACACTTTTACATAAATTTACATTCTACTACTAGTAAAGAAAAAGACATTTCGTCGTGGTACACTCAGAAAATTTCAAGCTGCAATACACAACCGCCACCGGAAATTTTGCAAATTGCAAACAGCTAAATATAGCTTTCAAACTTTCTAGATTGTATCTCACGTCGCCATGTAGTCGAGATTATAAACTGTCTTGCCCTCAGAATTGTTTTATAGCATACAAGACATTTATGGGCTCTGGTATTTCAAAAATGCAGTATTTGTAAATCGAACAATGCACATTTGCGTGGAGGATAAATTCATGTTTTTTCAGGTCGTGTGACATTTATCTCAACATCACTTTCGATCAGTTCTGTAGTTTAATTCGTATTTGGCTGGTTTCTTATAAATTTTCATTTTCAACAAGGACCATGGAAGTAATAGTAAAGTCTTGATTATTGTGAGCTGTGATTGAGAATTTAAGGAACTAGAGCAAAGCATTTCTGTCAAGTTCAAGTTCAGCTTTTAGAAAGCACAAGTCGTCTTAGATTAGAAGGAAACTCTTCCTTTTCACACATTTCCTTTTAAAACATATAATGCACGATGCGGTAGCATGAATTTTCAATTTACTAAATTAAATACGTTACACAGATGTTCGCTTGAGACATTTTTCGTTTTGAAAAATTACTCCTAAGCAATGCCCAGTTCAATGATTCTTCCCTCGTGTATAAATTTGAAAACGAAAGAATTTTGACTGGAAATGCACAGATCACATTTAATCTGTCAACATGAACGGAATTTCTAAAATGTCCCAAGCAGACATTATTGTCGCCAAAAGTTATTGAATTTGGTCTTTCCATATCAAATGAATGCTGACAGACTTTGAGTGACGTGGATAGATTTCTTGACCAAAATCAATTCCCAAGGGAATCAGTTTGTTCTGATCAAAACTTCCACAACGGCATAACATGCAATTGTTATGTGCTGAATAGTTTCGTACATGTATGTAACTTATGCCTACTCAGAAATTCTACGCCTCAGCTGCATAACCGTAAATATCTAATCTTTCACACCACATGATTTCCCTCAGAGAGGATCAGAAATCAAACTACTTGCAATTTATCTTCTAGAAGTTTTTAATCAAAATATGAAATCTTAATAGCTATTTTAGAAACTGTTTTGAAGCTTGGGACTTGTTAACTGTATTCGTTTTAGAATTATTGTTTCAACCCCAGGTGTTCATTTAAATTTTACATACTATGAATAAAATATTGATAATTATCAAATTTCCATATGAAATCATAAACCTATGCATGTTTGAATGACAATAGAGGCCATTTGAATGCAATTTTCTCTAAATTAATTTGTGCAAATGTGTTGCATTAGAACTGTCACATGCCATTTTTATAATTCATGCTGAATTAAGACAATTCTACTCCAAAAGAGTAACTAGTGCACCAGAATAACAGAATAACACAACTTCTGAATTATGGATAGAGTGATTTAATCACATCTTATAACAAGAACTATTGCAACTAAAATGACACAGAGTTCTATAAACAACTTTTTTGTAAAACAAAGCTTCTTCAAGGTATAATTTCCATGCTCCAAAGAATACAACTTAAAAAGATTGCCCCACTGAACAATGTGTTTTTTAACCTAAGTTAACAATAAACTTGAGCATTTTCACAGCTTTCTCACAGCTTTCATGAAAGTTTTAAGTTCCTGTTGTCCTTTCACATGGTTAGTACACTGGAAAATCACTCTCACTGTTTACACTTACACAAAAATACACCAAGACGGAAAAATTAACAGCTTGCGGGATATTTTTCAAGGTATACAATTCACGATCATAACAAAAATAGTATTTAATAGTGACATATAAAAATTGCTATTTAGTCTGTTGTACAGTTTTATAGTGACATGTACAGAGGAAGTGCCCTCTCACCCTTAAACTCCAGAAGTGATTAACATGCATCTTCTCTCAACATTACCATTACATTGCTCAGCCAACAGGTAGTGAGATCAAACAGACTGATCAGCTATAAAGTGTTACCTAAGAAAAAATTCATGACTCTAGATTTTCTGTTACTGTTAATATCTGCACTGTAGAATAACCAACACAAACAAGGATTTGTCTGCCATTAAGAGCTCAACTAATTGTCTCCTTTCATAATGTGATGACCGTTTTGAAGCTGTGTGACTGAATAGCACCAGAATATTAAGTGATGTTCACTGGCTTTCAACTACTACTTATGCATCTACAAGGCTGATTTTATTTAGTTAAACACAGGTTTACTCCAAAGTGCAGTCTTCAAGGATTCCTCACACTGGAATATGCCAGCCTAGTGTTTTAAAATGTCATTCACTAATAAAAATGCAATGATTTCTTAAGAAGGAGCTAAATTTGCATCCAGTGTGATCCTGTGCTCTAAGAAGAAAAAGCAACATCCCTAATGTCATTGTTTCAATATAATAACCCTTTAACTCCCACAAGTGATTAACATATAACCTCTCACTCTAATATCCATACATTATACAGCAAACAGGTAATGAGAATACTCTCACTTATCGGGTAGAAACTGTTATCTTGATCTACCACCAAATTCTCATAACATATTTTGAGGGAAATGTGTATCAGCTACAGGGGAGAATTAACAATCAGATCATGGGAGTTAAAGGGTTCGTGATGTCCACACAAGAAATGCAAGTTGTTCCAAAAACAATTTACTTTCTTGAGGACAAGGGCTCTTATTGAAAGCAGCCTAAAATGCACCTCTCTCCCCCCCCCCCCCCCCAATTTAAGAGGGAGGGAAGAGGTACTGATGTTCAAAATACTAACTAAGGAGTGATACTGAAAAATTCATCAAAAATCAACATAATCAACTTGGTTCAACTGGTACATATGGCACACAAGAATAAAACTGCTTCTTGATATTCTGACATGCAATGCTTTCATGCTTTCAAAATTTTCAGTAGCCATTTAAGCGGAAGGATGAAATTCGTCATCTTGCATTTGTGTTATGCCAGCATGCATACTCTCAAATGTTGGAGATTTTGATACTGGAAATTGTAATGAAATTTTCCATTTCACTTCATTCCCTGTATCAAAATATCCAACGCCAATTGCATGGACTGAAATATACTAGCTGCATGCTCCTTGCTAAAAATAACTGGCCTTCAAAAATTATTTTTTGCAGATAATTTTATAATTTATATTGTCATATTCTCATGTACAAAGATGGCCATTTTTCATGTTGTCATTGCTAGAAATAACTTGCCTAAAAAAATATCTCATCAAAAAGTACCAAAATCATTGCTTACCTATGGTAAAGTATGTACTTTTCCAGAACTTGCATAAAATGCCTATGTTATTAAATTTACTATAAAATAGATAAATCTGTTTAAAAAGTTTGTCTTTGAAAAGACTGTTAAATCCAAAAATTCCTAATTCTCTTTTCTAATTTTACAAAGAAATCTGAAATTACAAAATTTTTGAAAAATTCTCTCTTTTTATCTAATTTGAGTTAAAATCTATAGCTGCATTAATCTGTCTTGTACGACTTCTCCCATAGACACAGATGGACAAGAAAAGACCTGTTTGATGCAACCAAAATGTTTGCTGTCAGTCAACTATGCAGATAAACACTTGGATTGTAAACATTGTGGAATTTGTGGAACATTTCGTTTGAATGAGACATCATGAAGGGTACAAACAACCAAACTGATGGCAGCGATCTACTATGCTGAGAAATGCATGGATCATAAATATTGTGGAACATATAAATTGAACAAGAATTTGAATTGTGAGCAGACACAACAAAAGTGCTTGATACATGACAAAGAATGCAGTTCATGATAAAAATTTCTAAGTGTGAGTTTGCATTTGATGAAAAATATTTCATTGATGGTAAGTAAAATTAACACTGAAGAAATGACTGCCTTAAGACAGTTGAGTGTGAAGCTTGACTCTAAGGTGATTGAGGACTAAATAACTGGCCTAAGTTAACAAGAACAAAATTACTTAAATCCATCAGCATCTATATGGGATTAACACTGTAATTCTGTTTGCTGAAAAACAGTGAAACAGACTAGGAAAAAAGGCAAACTTATTCCATTAACTAGAATGCATTACCTTCAAAAAAAAAAAGAAGTCCCAATTCTCTTAACTAATTTTACAAACAAATGTTGAGAGGCCAAAAGAAACTTCCAAATCACATCTCAGAGCTTAAAGTAAAGGATGAAATCTGAAAGGTTAAGACTTACACTGCTACATTCAACTTTTTGGGTACGATATAAAGACGAATGCTATTTCGAGCACAGTAAAAATTAAACAAAGGTATGAAAAAGGATGAAGAAAGTTATTTGGAATGAAATAAAAATGCTTTGATGATAAAAGTTGTTCACAACTGTGTTTGCTTAATCATTTCCTGTTTGCTGTGAGCATAGTTGGTTATAATGATCCTTCCGTGCAATTGGCCAAAAAAACTGAAAAATTGTGGGAGGTTTCTATCTTCTTTCCAGGTTTTGAAGGACAATTCACCAACTGATTTTAAGAGCCAGAATTTTGACCTGAATTTTTTACAAATTAGTTTCCTGCCCAGAAAAAGCTCATTTATCTTGTTAATGACAGCTTCGACGTCTGACAAGATTGTGTTCCCCTCAGTCAATGATTTGATGACAAGTTGTATCCAAAATATCTAATACAGTGTGAAGAACTTGTCGATAATACATCAGAGGAATTGAGGCAGACAAGGGGATGGATGAACAGGGTTGAATAAAGAAGGTCTTTTTCCAATTAACACTGAAGAAATGTGGCATCTTGCATCCGTACTTGTACTCCTCTTTACTTCACACAGTAGATACACAGCATAATTTAATGCATCATAACCTTTAAAATACTATCACTAATATAATTTTTTTGCTTCATGTGAGCATTTACCAAATTTGTACTTACCCTAAATTTTTTTTTTCTCCTCCAAAAAATCTGAATACTTTGACTTACAAAGGCACACCCAACAAAATTGCAAAAAAAGCAATGAATAAAGCAAAAATATAATAATCATTTTATCTAAATCTCCAAAGAACAATGCTTTGCATTGGGCACAGGGTAAAATTTCATTGAAATAACTATTTGCATTTTGAAAACTACTTTAAAGGACTGAAGTAACAAAATATTTTTTTTATACAATTTAAAACTAACCTCTGGCAAAACTTATCAAATTGTGCTATCACAAAGCAATAAAATAGCTATCATCTACCACAGGCCAGGAAAATTGGAATGCAGTTTCATGTAGCTCATCTGAAAAATTTCTTTTCAAGCTTAAAACAAAACATGGCTTCGCGCAAGTAACCAGTTTCTCTGAAGGATTCAAATGTTTAAGCACCAAAATCACTTTGGTTTTTCTAATATCACCAGCTGTGTCATGACAATACCATCCCAACATAACCATAGATCACAAAAATATCTTGAAGATCTTCTTTCCTAGACCTGGTGACTTCTGGTGTCCTCTTCTGGTTGTACATTTAAAGGAAAATTAAAAATATTTTTGGCCACTCAGTAAAATTGAATCACAGCAAAGTTAGCTTGGTTTTTTTTGCTTTACGCAGAAACGCTTGATGTCACTGGGCTTGCAAAGTCAACACGCAAGTATTTCCTGACTGTCTCTTCAACAGTATCCATCCGTTGGCTGAGCTTTTCATGTTGCTCAAACATGATACCAGACACTAATGACAGCTCACTGTCTGTCATACCACTGTCCGTAATGGAAACTTCAGAGGTGGCACCACACACAAGTCCCAGATTCCTGATGTGAATTCTATCCAAGCTTTCGTCATCCTCAATAATGTGTCGCACGGGGTTCATGAGGAAATTTAATATGTCCCAAAGGACACTTTTAGGGAGATCTACTGCTGGGTGAACGATATTGTATCTGATAAAGGAAATGAAGCCTAACTCACATCACCTTCATTCAAAATCAACTGCTGCTCCACAAACTATGGTATTGTTATAATGCGTGTATGATTACCAAAAATATTATGCATCACTAACTATTACACAATTGCTAGATTTGCTCTTTAACACAATTCATTACTACTTTTAACAACTTGAGGTTCTAACAACTTCTATTGCAGCATTTAACATTGAATCAATAAAATAAATTACCATATCTAGGAAAGGTGCAAAATATCCTAATTGTTACTAGCTATGTACTTCTATGTAATTACATATTTAATAATCATTTGAAATATTACAGATCAATAATCCAAGGTTGAAAATTCAACATAAAAAATAGATGTCATCACAATTCCCCCAAGAATAGTGTCCAAACTTGAATTTTTTTCCAACTGAGTGTCTTCCCTTCAGCACTGCACAGGAGTTGCTTGTTGAAAGGTGAATTAAAAACACCAAAATGGGCTGTTATGAAAGTAATCTTACAACAGCTTTTTTTTAAAGCTCTTTCAAAAGATTTTTAAAAGATCAATAATTGACATGATTTGCCTAATAAGTTATGAAGTTGATTCCAAAAATTCATTAGGATTATGAGACATTGTTACCAGTTTCTATATACCCATATATGATTAAAAACAGTGATTAATTAAAACTGAGTTTTCCTGTTAAGTAAGGATAGCTAACCAACAAAAATGAAAAGGACCTACCACAGATGCACTTGCTGTAGAACAGAAAACAGTTCAAGTGTTAATGTTAAATCATCACCAAATTACCTGTATACAAGAGCAAGGATATTGAGCATAGTTGCCACATCTGGATGGTCATGACCAGACGTCTTTTCTAAATCTTCCAGTGCTTGCTTACAGAGAGGGACTGCCACCTCATATCGACCCTAACAAAAGCATAATGCAAAGAATGATATTTTAAGCACCATTTCAAGGGATGAAAAAAATTCAAAATAAAAATTAGGTTTGGTGTCTTCCTTAAAACATGTCCCTGCTTTTAAGTGTTTACTGTACTTAACTAATGTATAAAAAGGCAAAAGGAAAAAGAAACAATGATGGACATCTTGGTTCTTGAGTGCTGGTTTGTGAGAAGAATAATGACAAGAACTAAAGTGCACTTTACAATAATTACTGTACTTATTTGAAAAACATCCAACCTAGGCTAACCACCCTCCCTCCCCCCCTTGAACTGAAGTGTACAAGAGGAGTATTGTGTATTATTTCTTTACTGGCTGACAGTCTAAATTCACTGTCTGTGGTACATCATTATGTTCTGTTACTTTTTTTTTGGTTTTGCCCTAAAATAAACTTACTACTAGATGAAAACTGTGAACATTTAAATTAATATAAGCACCCTTCCTCGCATAAGCCCAGCCTCATATGAGCTCCCACTCTTAAGGACCATAAATCAATTAAGCACCCACAGCACTTACTTGAGTAAATATTTTAATTTATCAAGAAGATACTTGAAGGGTTTAAGGAGTAAATTCCTACCTGTGAAGCATACTGTATAACTAAATTGTGCAGTGTTCTAAGGCGAGCTGGAATTTCATAGACACCTGATGCACTTGCTGAGGTGGCAGATGATGCCTGACTTAATGTTTCATCTACAATAAATGAAAGTAAAAAGATAATTGAATAAATAAAATAAAAAGATAAATAAATAAATAAATAGTCAATGAACTAACATAATGTTGGAAAGGAAAAAAATTAAAGATGTCCCTCATGCTACACTAGAGATTTGAAATATCTCATTTCTGCTTAGTTTTCATTCTTTTGTAACAATATACCTGAAAAAATAACTGGCTTCTGATTGGCTGGATAAGTGCAATTCTCATGTAGCATGGGAGCAAAGTTGTAACATGAGTCCAAATTACAAATCATAAGTGCACCCTCTCAAAATTACTCCTTAACTCTCTGTGATGTTTCTTCATGTACATTATTAACAAGTAATAACATGATTTCTCTTCCAATTTGGTGTTAATAAGCACAAGTAAATTTTTCAGAGACTACAAATTGCACTTGCCCCACAGGCTCATGCAATTTTTTTGTCTAGGAAAAATTATATTGTGCTTATTAACACCACATTGCACTTGAAATTATGTTTAACTAATTACCTAACATGATAGCATGATAGTTTTTATTGTGGAGAAAGTAAATTTTTTGCAGGTTTCAATATTTGTGGTTCTTTTTTTTTTTTTCAGTTATTTATTACTAGAGTTGAGAGTATGGCATGGTAACGACTTTGGAAAAATAGTTCTTAAAAAATGGTTACTATATCTTTAAGATTTTCTGGGATGGTAATGGTTACTGCTGGCTTAAAAGGCTCAATGTGTTTCTCTGAGAAAGGAATTTTTATAGAAATCATTACTTTTTCTTCCTGACTACAAAACGGCCTACCATCAACATCTTCCACTTCCTCTTCATCCTGTGAGAGCATGTCTATACTGATGTCATTTTCTATTCCTTCATCCTGGTAAAAAATAAGTATTTCTCTTCATGAGAAAAAAGGGTAAATAAAGCCTCCTTGATTTTACCAAGCAGCCTACAATTTCATTTTTGACTAAGTAAATTACAAGAGGAGGTTCATCAACACCTATTTATACTTCTAGCAAGGGCTCACACCCAACCACTTATATCCAAAGACTTGTACGTCCTATGGTACTCTGCCCAATTGAAGCTTCAGTCAATGATGAAAGAATATATTCACAAAAATATTATATAACAAGGTGAATTATACACACATTTTGATTGTTTCTTATATCACCACAAACCAAATTTTGTTTTTTTTTATCATATAAACCAATAGATTTCCTGTCACACCTATGACACATTTGACTGCCCTTCAAGTGTCACTCTTTTGTTCTTACCACAATTTGACATCAACTGTGATCTATTACTGAACAGACACATCACAACATCAAATCTACTTTTAAAATGGACGATGGATAGGGACCCTTTACATGTATGAAAGTCATATACTACACAATAAAATCAGGATTTTCATACCAATCTAACGAATCTTTTTGCACAGCTGAAATATAAAGTTTTGTTCCATTGCTCTTAAAGAAACTGTAGCAGAATTTCTAAAAATGGTCTACATGTTTCTAAAAGTTGAGTGCTTGTTTCTTAACCCTTTTGCATTTTATGCAAACTAAAATAAACAGTCATGAATGCATGATAAGGACAAGGACATGATTAAAAACAAACAATCCAATGAACTGTAAGTGTAAGTGCGTGAATGAATGAGGAAGGAAACAGGGAACTTCTCTAGCTATTTTAACACTTACATGCTTATCCTAGGAGAGTCAAAACAATTCCATGATGGGCAAAACACATGAAAAATAAGAAACAATAAAATAAATGAGAGGTGACTCTTAAAAACAAAATATAACCAGTGAGTGCAATTTATGTGCAAAAGTAGCTTTCCATGAAAATTATTGTACAAGAAGGAAGAACTGAAAGATGCTTACGTCATCATATTTTTTTATAGAGTTCATGAATTCCAAGTGTTTCTTTTCTTCTTCCAACTGAGCCACTTTCTGCTCACTTTCTTGCAGTTTCTGTTGAGTGACTGACAGTTCTTCTCTGAGCCAGGCATTCTCTTGACAAAGCCTTCGCACTTGTGCTTTCAGTTTCTGCTTTTCAGCTTCAACAGTGCTGAGGTGACTACAAAGTGCCATCATTACCTAGCCGGAAATATTCAAAATAACTTAAAACCAATCATTGATACTAACAAGCATCTGCTGGTCATCCTATTGAGATTAATTAATGTGACAGCTTAGACTTAACTGTGATACAACAGTATGGCTCTACACTTACTCAAATGCCTGTACAAGTGTGGAGTGTTCAGAAATAAGAATAATTTGCAGGAAGTCCAATGGAAGTCATGCGTTCAATTCTTAGAATCCAAACAAAATGAGAATTCATGAATTTATTATAATAATTTAGAGCTAAATTGACACTTGCCACATATCTGCACTGTATATAACAATTTAAACATTGGTGATATATTAAAAAACATTATTCCAATACTACCTAGAAGCAACTTAGATATATATTAGTTTTAACATCTCTAAAGGAAACAGCTCTGAACTCCTCTTATATCTGGCTGAAATAATCAGAATTGTTGTTTCAACACTGTTTTTTTTCCTTAAACAAAGAAAGAAACCTGTTACATTTTGTAAAACTATAACACAGTTCTGTTCAGTTTTGTGCATTATGTTGGTAGGAAAACCTTTTGAATCGTGGATCGGTCATATAAAATGAGAATACTAGGAAAATTCCTCAAAACACATTGGCTTGTTTTTTTTCGTGCAAAACTTTCACTTTCTGTGTATAAGGATTTTTCCAGGAATATCTACTATAAGCATTTCAAATCAGAATAGTCATCACCTAAATAAAATCCTTCATGATGAATTTTATGAATTCTAGGAAGTCAGACCAAGACAAAACACCAAAAATGAACATGCTTGAATAAATGTTAATTCTTGTAACCAGAACACATTAGAAAAAAATGCTTTTCAATTGTGTTCCATTCAGTTTTATCCACAAAGGCATCTTATTATGCTAAATTGCTTTTTAAAGACTTCAATATTGGACCTGACCTTGACCATAAGCATTTTTTGAATTTTTATAGAGAACATACGTAAGTGTGGTCACCGATCTAAATAGTTTGAAGTTTTGTATACATCAAAACTTTACTCCATCAACTTTTTAGTTCAAGTGTGTCCCAAAGTGTTCCAAACACCTCTCAATAACAAATATATGACACAGTTTAATTTAAACAAAGAGGTACACAAACTTGATCTCAAATGAAGAAATCTAGTGAAAGAATAGATCTGATTTTTAATTGAAGAGTAACAAATGGAAACGATTCACATATCCAGTCAACCTAGAGGCAAGAAAAAGCTGCTCAAATTAGGTGCCATTTTCAACATCAAGAAATTCTGGATAAAAATTTGACAAACATGAAGTGCAAAAAATTCCTTTATCACCTAAGATAGTTGCATGTCTGAATCAAAGAACTATCTCTAGAAAAGTTTGAACCTCATTTAATTTAGAATAAAAGCTTTTATCAATTAGCAAAGAAGATAAATCTTTATTTTTGTTATTTCTAAGGACAGCCATTATTCAAAACCAGTAATTGAAACCTAAATTCACTCTTGAATTATTAAACCAAACACTTTAAAATATAGGACTGGTGAGGCTACCATTGTTTGAAATTTATAATTGGGGCTAATTTCATTTGGCAGATAAACAAGTAATTTCAAGGAAAAATCAAAGAATTGTAAAAGGCTGCTGAATTGCAAAACATTATCTATGACGATAATCGCAATACGTTTACTTGCACTACCCATATCAAAACATGTCAAATTAACATAATGGAAAGGAATATTTTCAGCCATTTTGTCAATTCAGCTGGTTTATAAGGTGACAAAAAGCGACATAAATAATTACAGTATGGCCTTTGGCATGAACAGAAGCCTTTAAGATTAGTTCTAGTTTTAGATGAGTATACTGAATATAAGAGCTTAAATTGGAATATGTGTCTAATAAAATTGCCGGCAAATATCGGAGTCGGCTTCCTTCGTTGCGAGACGAGAATAACTCTTGGTAACACAACTGAGAGGCTCATTAGAGCAAGCGAACGTTTCAGGGTTTTAAAACATACTATTATTATCTTCCAAGTTGATCTTTGCCCCTGAATGGACTAGTCGATCTTAGGAGCCCCTGCGATTACATCGCAGTATTAGAGATAGAATCCATCTCTTTAGTACACTCTTTCCACAGCAAGGAAATTCGAATCATGTACTTCGTGATAGAGAAAGAAATTCAGCGGAGAAATAACATCACTTATTTAGCTATGATTAATCCTTTAAGAAAGAAACCAGGAATACGCACCTGAGCTTCTCCTAGTCCTAACTCGATCTTCTCGATTGATTCTTGGACGATAGAGCCCTTCTCCTTCTCCAAATCCGATGATCCACCACGATCCGAATTAAGGTTGCTCAAGATTCCTGAATGTTCATTTTTCAAGGTCTCTAATCCACGTACAACGTTTCTTGTATTGTTTATGATTTCGTCTTGCGTCCATTTGCGATTGTTTCCTTCGAGATTCGTCATGTTTTATTGGTGAATTATGTCCCTTCTGCCAGAGATAGGATAGTTTACAAAATGGCGTCAAACTAACTGTAGTTAACTTGTGAACGATGCTATTGTTTCAAGAATGATTCCAACGGCTAATATTCCGTTCCTTCGACGTTCCTTAGGGTTTCATATCACTTTTTGTCGGGGTCAGATGGCTAGTGCAACCGAAATCGGAGACAAAATTATTCCAAAACCTTGCTTAAATTTCCCCCATGTCGGTTTTTGCCTCCTTCGTTTGCATAATGCTAACTCATAACGAGGCAGACAATAATTCCCGTCGGGGGGAGTTAGCTGGGGAAGAACATTTCTAATAAATAATTTTACGAAGTGTGCTACCAGTTTTAACGACAAATAGTAAATATTATAATGATCCCTTTGATAAAAAAAAAACTTATTTAAACTAGATTTTATTCAATTCATTGACAGCGGTTATACTGCGTATGAGACTGGTAGCACTCCTCTAGGGTGGGGTGGGTAATTACTCGATTGAACGCTAAGACATCAAAATAAGTTTACAAAATAAGCTCAGTTGTGCACGCATTCTGATTGGTTCACACTTATGATCTATTGGAGGACAGACGTATAGATGACGTCATCATTAAAACTTTTTTTGAATTCTCTCTTATATAAAACAAATAGATTCCAAGTTGCCGTGCGTCTGTTCAGTAATAGATCACAGGGGACGTCAAAATATGGTAAGAACATCAGTAACACACTCTGCTGCGCCTAGTGTGCCACTTTTTTGCTCTTACCACATTTTGACGTCATCTATGATCTATTACTGAACAGACGCACGGCAACTTGGAATCTATTTGTTAAGTTGATTATCCTGGGGCCGCGCTTTTTTTCTTAATTTACATACAAAAATCACGGTAAATAATTTGTAAATGTTATGTTAAAAGGGCATATCCTCGAAAACGCCACAACCTGTTGGCTGAGTTTATGCGAGAGCGACTTTGCGTGATAACCTTGTTTTTTTTCCTTAATTAAATATACGGCGTTTGTTTGAGGGCAAAGATAATTAGAGTGAATACAGTCACCCGTGAATGAACTGACAAGATACACAGAACAAAGATGCCAAAAGGCTTTTCAAGATGTTTTATTAAAAAATACAGTTACACTGTAAAATTAAAATTTCAGAGTAAATTGGTAAGCAATTAAAATAAACGTCTTTAAATGAGGCTGTCAAGAAATATAAACTTCTGGGGTAGATAATTAAAGTACGTGTATTATATTTTCATTCTTGGGATAAATAATGAGAAAAGTGCAAAAAAAGATCACGAATTTTGAGAATGCCTCAATAATTTGAAATGGCAACAATCCAGAGGAAACATTGCTTGTGCACTGACCCCAATGAACAAATTCTCTAGGCCAAATTTTACCACAAACCTATGTTAACAGTAACTGAGATTAACATCTGAATCAAAAGGAGATTCCCTGAATCTTAGGCATGCCATGATTCAAATTTAGGTCCACTCATTTATGTTGAGTGCCAAAGGTGTATTATTCTGTGAAGACAGACATAAGAAATCATTCCCCCACCCCACCCTCTCCAACTCCCTTTCAACATCTTTCTTAACTATTGCTGATTATTTATTAAATAATCAGAACAGGAACAAACCCTTGTGCTTAGCTATACCAACTTGTCCAGATCTCCCCTTCCTGCTACAAACCTTACTTCCAAAATGATGGGGTTGACTTGAAAAGAAAAAAAAAAAACTTCCTTATTCCTTTGACTCCCTCAAACAATCTCTGTACATATAAAATCCCTGGAGTCAAAGAAATGCAGAACATTGGTCTCATGTAATTATATGTGAATCACACTCTTTCATAACTAAGATGAGCTTTAGTAACATAATTACCCAGCATATAAAAGGCAGATTTGAAAAGGAAAGTTTTAATGATTGAAGAACATGTGTCTACTAGTCCACATGATGAATTTTTTCTTTCTAATGTCTATTAGGTGAGTAAAATTAATCCTTTAACTCCCTAAGAGTGACTAGCTTCTAATTTCTCCTCACAACATCAGCCCCAAATCACACATTAAGGTCACAAGAATAAAGGAAATGATCACCAACTAAATAACCTCTTGATTGTTAAACAACTTCTCCTTATCATCACCTCAGGAAAATGTTTAGAGAACAGTATCGAGAATGTGCACACTGATGTAAGGGTGCAGAGCGTAAATGCAGTGAATGAGCTAACCATAGATAAAATAAAACTTTTTTTAAAAAAATAAAAATAAACTACATCTAAAATACTGGTAACTGCATTTAATACTGCCCTATAGCATATGACTACTAGTTACCCCACAAATAAATGTTGATGAAAATAGCATTACAATGTTTTGATTTGTGTAAAAAACAAATTTACCACAAAAACAGAAATCATCAGTCTCATGAACTACAAGTCTCAGATTCCTTCCAGAAAAAAAAATTTTCAAAAACTGTTGCCAATGGGAGATATACCTAAAACATGGATGCAGTGAGAAAGAATGTTGTGATGAGACCTTTTCTTCCAAAAAGTGGTTTAAATCTTCCTTAACCCTTAAACTCCCAAAGTCTGAGTGTTAATTCTCCCTTCTATCAGCTACATTTTTCCTTGTGAAATAGTTTTGAGAATTTGGTATTAGACCAGGATAACAACTTCTACTCAATAGGTTTAACCCTTTAACTCCCAAAAGTGATTAACATGCGGCTTCTCCCTTAAAATATCCATATATAATCCAGCAAACATGTAATGAGAGCAATCAAACTTATCAGGTTTAAGTTGTTATCTTGATGTAACACCAAATTCTCATGACTAATTTACAAGGAAATGTGTAGAAGTTTGAGAGGAGAATTGACAATCAGATCTTGGGAGTTAAAGGGTTAAGTATTCTCATTGCCATTTTGTTGGATAATGTATTGGATATTATAGGGAATGAGCTACAAGTTAAACACATCTGGGAGTTTAAGGGTTAATTCAAACATGACAAATACCACTCACACCACACATTCCTACATCACAACAAGACAAGAGAAAGTTAAAACTAAGATGGATACAGTGATAAAGGCAAAAACATGTTGACTCTAGTTCTTACTTCTTCCTTAAAAAACAGCAACTCAAAGAAAAGCTCTGAGTTTCTCAGAAGCTTTCTTCCTGATTATTTGGTTGAATTGCAAACAAAAGAAACATCATATGTATATGATAAATGAGGGCAATAAGTCAGACATCTGTTCATAATGTATGCATATATATGATCCATAAAATAATTTTGCGCACAGACAATTGGTTTAAATGCAGCACGTGACTAAATATCCCCCAGTTAAAACTTGGTAATATCTGAGAATATCAACCAAGTGATATTCATCAATTTTCAAACCTACATCCACTCTGATGAGTCTTCATTTCAAATCTAATTCAAGATGAAAGAAGGTTTTTGTGCTTGTTACAAAGGAAAATCTTTTTTTGTTTATTACGTTCCAGGGAACAGGGAACATGCAAAAGAAAAAATCCCATGCTGCATACAGTAAGATGTTCATAAACATTTTTTTCAAGCGTGTTGCAAACTATTTGAAGGATAATAAACACAAGCTTGAAGCTCACAGTTTTCCTCAAGCTTTGCTCTCGGAAACCTGTTTGCATCTTGGAACAGATGAGGTCCACAACAATAACCGTATGTATTTTCATGCCAAATAGAGGCTACTGTTTCTGTATACTAAACCTGTAATTAATATTCCATAATATAAAAATCATCCAACATTACTCTGCCCAACATGAAATATACTGAATGTGCGCAATGCTGTGAACCACTATACCACAAAGTCCCTATCAGTTTTTCTCACTTTTCTTGGCCTCTTTTTTCCTTCATTATCATCTTCTTCATTTCCCACCTCTTCGCCAAAGTCATACACATAATCGTCGGTTTTAAATGATGTGCGCCTTCTACTCTTTGGCACACTCACTTGTGATTGGGCTGTAAGTTGCAGCTTGATTGCACTTGTGTTAATTTTGCCACTAGTTGCCAGCAAATCTCTCATTCCTCTCATTTTTGCACTTTTCAGATTGAGCACAAGCTTCTCTTTACTAGAGTTTTCTACACCAGCTTGCAAAGAGTTGCTGTGCTCCACCTTATCACTGGAAGTAACAGGAGGTTTTACTCCACCCAACTCATTTTTCATGGGCACTGCTGCCGGAGATAATGACCCTCCCTGTGCAGATGACAATGCTGATCTACAATCAGGAGAAAATCTTGAAATAGACTGTACAAGCTTTTTTGCCCAATCAGCATGGAGCACTGGGGTATGACCTCCTTCTTCCCACAAGCAAACACCATCATAAAACTGAAGAACAAAAGCAAAAAAGCTTGGGTCTTCTGTGAGGTTGGGAGCCCTGTAAGCAGCACTGCTTTCACTACTCTCTGCAGATGAGGTTGAGGCTTTGAGGATGTTTGGTATAAAGTCATTGGCAATTTCATATAGTTCTTTGAATATTTCCTCATCATCTTTTGAATAGTTGTACCTATAACAAAATAAAGAGCATTTTCAGAGGTTCATAGCTTACAGGTGACCTTTAAATAACTGCTTCCAAATGATGACCTGCTCATTTGTAACATCCAACAAACCCTTAAACTTCCATACATGACCAGGACAGAATTTCCCCTTACAATATAAACACAATATAAAGCAGAAAAGTTATGAGAAAAAAATGAAAACTATCAATTAGGGGATTATTCATTGATCCAACACCAAATTCTCAGAACTAACATCATGAGAACAGTACAACAGGCAGTTGAGAATCTTGGAAGTGAAAGAGTTAATGATAGTAATAATACTAAATAAAAAAAAATAAGGGGTATCAATTTACTATGGTCATAAAAATTAGGCAAAAAACAAATTTACTGTCTTACTTTCCAGCCACATATGCAGCCTTCACCCAACAGTCAATGGCTTTCATATACTGCTTCTGTCTGTAGTAAAAACCACCAAGGTAAGTGTAAGGATAAATATGCTGGTCTTTATACACAGTTTCGTTCACTTTAATTCCCTCTTTAAGGATTTCTTCAGCTGGTGGGCGATCAACAGTTGGTGATATCTCTTCCAGGTCCCCAAGGTTTCCCAAAGCTAGAGGATACCTATGACAGAAACAAATTTTCAATTTACAATTAACTTTAGTTTATGGCAATGACAGCTGATCACAGGCTGTGAATAAGTTTTTAGACTGAATTGCTTTTCAGACAGGGCATGAGCTGAACAGGCTGTGAATAAGTTTTTCAG